GGGGCTGGCACCTCCGGCGCGCCCGGGGCCTCCGCCCCCACCGGGGTCCTTGGGTGAGTGGCCCAGGGCCTCGGCGACATTCTTCAGGGCGGCGATGGGGGAGGGCACCCCGGGGGTCTCGGCCGAGTAGGGGCCGCCGGGGGCCACCCAGTGCCGTTGCTGCTGCTCCTCGGAGGTCATCTTGCCGGCGCCCTCGCCCTCGGGTTCAGGGGAGGCCTTGCGCCGGCGCGGGGTGGGCGCCAGGTTCCGGGATGGGGCTCGGGGTGGGGGTCCGCACAGAGCAGCCTGGGTGGGCTCTGGGTACTGCTGGGGCAGGGCCTCGGCGGGCGCGGGCTCGCGGAAGCTGCGGACCCCGTCGGTGAGCAGCTCGCCCAACTGGCGCCATTCGCCCGAGCCGTGGCGGCGTTCGTATTCGAGGTACTTGAAGCCGGAGGAGGCCAGGGCCTTGCCGGGTTCCCGCAAAGCGTCGTGAAACATCTGGCGAGCCACGGCCAGGACCCCCGCGTACACGTTGCCCGAGCCACAGGGATACTCGGTGAAGAGCTTCAGCTCGAACTCGTAGCCCGGAGGGCGGGCGGCGGCATCGAAGGCGAACACGCGCCCCACCAGCCCGTGATCCTTCTTGAAGCGGACGTTGAAGGGGGCGCAGGCGGACAGCGCCAGCAGCTGCTCCCGCACGGCCTTGGGGCGCCCGTGCCACTCCTCCGCCCGGCCCCGCATGGCCTCGTTCAGTTCCGCCAGACAGTCCGCATTCCTCTGCTGCTTCTCCTTCTCGAAATCGGAGCCAAAGAGTGGCCGAGCAGGGCTCAAGCCGGGTGCCAGCGTCAGGGCCCGGCCTCCCAGGCCCGACACCGCAGCTGCCAGCAAGCCGGGGGGCATCAGGCTGGGCATGGAGCCCAGCAAGGCCCTGCGCGCCCCTTCGGCCACGGCCTCCTCGCGGCCCAGCCCATTGGCCAGGCGGGACCCCAGGGTGTACTCCAGGGCCGGGGAGGGCAGCGGGAGGCGGCCCGACGAGGTGGCCCTGTCATAGCGGTCCGGGCCCGAGACGCCCCCGCTGGTCCCCGAGGGCTGGGCCTGGGCCTGCGGGGGAGGCAGCTGGGGCCCTGGCGCGCCGCTCGCCGCCAGGTCCTTGCCCGTCGGGTGCTTGAGGGCCGGGGGCCCGGGCGATCGGCCCTCGGGGAGCACGTGGCTGCGCTTGAGCTGGCGAGCGGCGTCGATGAGCAGCTCGATGCGATCGGCGCCCTCGAAATTCACGCACCCGCGGCACACGGCCTCGCTGAAGTCCCACACCATGGCCCACGGCATCTTGGGCAGGTCGCACAGGTAGCACCACTGGCGG